GCCAACCCTCAGGACTAAGTCAGGGCAAGCCAGAAGGGGTGCTGACCCTGTGAACCGCCTGATTTTGTTGTTTAGACTGAGGAAGATGAGGGTGAACAGGAGGTCCATAGCAAGCACACATGGAGACCTGTCACTGGCAACAACACAAATGGTGCAGTTTGAACATTATTTAGATTGCATGCTCCATTACCAAGCATTGATGAACACATTCTCTGGGCAAAGGAAACAGCTCTCAGTTTGCTGGGACCCCTCCTCTTATGGAGGGAAGGAAATCATGGTCTCAGCAGTGTACCACCCCCACCTTCAAAAAGCTTGCTGGCTCATGAATCAAGAAATGGGCCCAGTGATGGTGTCTGAACTGGATTACAGCCTATTGAGCCTAGCCAGAAAGCACAAACTGACAAGGGTGGAGGGGTACAAAGAAATTAGAGCCCTATCAGCTGGGCTCAGGAGCATAGGGATGAGTTTGCAGGACTTCACTGTGCCCAAAAACCTTTTTTGCAGACCACTGGCTGCACAAGAGTTCAGGATTCCATCTGATGATGGAACCTGTGTCTACATTTTTGATGAAGAATCTGGACAGTGCAGACCAGAGGTTCCTGAGGGCATGATGTTGGGAGAGGTGCCAGTCCTCCTGAGTATTTCAGATCAGGGGCCCAACAATACAGCTGCTCTGAACTTCCTTCAGTTCAGCCAGGGGTCCCTGATGATTGCTGTTCAGTATGACAGCTTCCACAGAAGTTGGAATGACCTGAAACTGGCATTCAGGAGAGCATCCTTTAATGGGTGGAAGTCTGTTCTGCAATTGACCATGGTGGCAAATGTGCCTTATGGTCCATTTGGGACCTCACAATGGTGGTTCAAGAAGAGATCTTGGGTTGAAGACTATTTGGCCACCAATGATTGCACCAGTGCCAGCTGGACAGCTTTGCAGCATTTGATTTGTGCAGAGAAAAGAGTGCCAGAACCAAAGGCACCAGAAGATGCAGCAGCACTCTTTCAATCAATTGCTAGCATGCCCTCAGTGCAGGAAAAAGGACCTTTGATCAAATTAATGCGCTGGTTTTCTTTCTTCGAGTCTATGACATTTCTAGAAGGCCAGCTTTGGATCACAAAGCTCATTTTGCAAGAGGCCTTGAAAACCAGCCCTGGTGATTTTGGAGAGTCTGATGGAGACAACAAGGACAAGGAACCCCTTCCAGAGGAGGCAGACCCAAAGAAAGAACTTCAACAGCTGAAAAAAAGGAAGGGTGTGCTGAGGCTGGCTCCAGACCTCATTAATGTCCACAACATTACTGCCAAAGACTGCATGATGGCAGTGGGAAAAGCAACCTGGAAGAGCCATGCCAGCAGGGCAAGGGAGATTACAAGCCCACTCCATGTCCTTGAATACAACATCGCCTGTTGCAGGTCCAAATTCTGGGCTGCTGAATTGGAAGACATGGTCCACACCAGCCTATGGGACCACAGACACCTGCAACATGTTTTGCCAGAGTACAGCATTCACCAGGATTCATTGGACTGGCACTTGGACCTTTTGGTGAAGTTGATGGAGACCAGGAGCATGAGCCTGGTATCTTTCCATGAATTGCCTCCCAATTGTTACCACCATGTCATGGCTCAAGACCCCCAAATTTCCAAGATGGCCTGTGACAAGGCTTGCAGTCACTTCAGGATGTTGACAGAGGCTGAGGCAGCCTCAAATCAAGGTGCCAATATAGAACCCCTGAGAGAGATGTACTGGAGAAACAGTCCTCTAGTGAGGACTATCATGCTTGCCTTTGATCAGGACAGGAGGCTGGGAAGGGAAGGTGGTACTAATAGCCAGGCAAAGAGGATCCAAGAGGTCCTGGCCAAGAATCTTGGTGACAGCAGAGTCATTGAGGTTGGCCATCAAAGTGCCAAGGACATTCTGAGGAGCTCAAAGAGTTCAACCTTTGGCAACACCAGCATCATGAGCAAATTGCTATCCTCCTCAACATTGCAAAACAGGAAGGTAGATTGTGTTCAAGTGGCACACTCTACCAAAGTGGAGGCCTCCATCAGCAGAGGAAGGAAGGAAGGTGTAAAGACCATCATGCTTTCCCACACGCACAGACTCCCCAAAGACATGCAAAACTTGATGGTTCCCAAGAGCAAGTTGGCCACTTGGCCATCCCCATCACCAGCCTCCCTTTTTCAATCAGCAGCCTCCACACAGTGGCTGTTTGAATTTTGGGAAGGTAAGGGAAAGACCTTGCCCAACAACTTGGCCTGCAATGATGCCTGGAAGAGTGTGCTGGCAACCCCTGGCACAACAGTGGCCCAGAGGTCGACAGGCATTGTGGCAAAGGTGATTGCATCAGGTGAGTACTCTTTCTTGGCTTGGCTGCTGTCAATTGAAAAGCAAGATGGTGAAACCTTCATGGTCATGAGACCCCACAGGGACAACCTTAAGTGGTTCCATCTTTATGATTTGGAAGATTGGGTTGTGATCCCCACCAAGCCAGCTTTACTGAACAAGCAAAGGGGGCCAGTTGGGTGGCAAAAGAATGGTGATGCAATGTCAATTGAGTTGGCTTTATGCCTGGCTGGCTTGCCAATCACAGTGAAGCGCATGAAAAGCCTCATTGGGCTATTGGGGGGTGAGGTCCCAAAGGGAAATGCGAGCAGAAAAGAAGTTGAAGAGGTCTTGTTGGAGTGTGTGGTACCAGAGCACAAGAAGGTTGAAGCCAGACAAAGCATGAACAAACCCAAACAAGATGAGGACATAGATAGTGAATTCTCTGAAGTGTTGTCAGAGTTGGGCCAAGATGAGGCCAACAGAACTGACATCAAAGACCTCAGGTCCAAGCAGAGAAATGCAAGGCTGAAAAGAAAGGGTGCAGTCAAGGACCAGGAAGTAGGGAAGGCCAAGAAAAGGAAGACTGGCAAAGGAAAGGGAAAAGGCAAAGGCAGAGGGAAAGGGAAAGGTAAAGGTGTGAAGAGGAAAGGCTTGGGGGAGCAATTCATTGGCATTGCATTGAAAAGGATGAAGGCTTCACATGACCAGCATGACCAGCAGCCACCACCAAGCTCAGAGAAGAAGCACCCAGAGCCAGAGGCAAGGGAACCTATGCCAGAGTCAGAACCAAAGCCTACATCATCATCATCAGCCTCAAAGCCTACATCAGCATCAGGACCAGAACATTCAGGGCAAGAAGCCTCAAGTGCAGAACATTCAGAAGCAAAAGCCCCAGGCCCAAGTGCTCCAGGGACAGGTTCAAAAACACCTGCTCCCAAGGTGTATAAGAGCCCTGAAGAAATCCTACAGCAGATTTCACCACCAGGCTGCTTCATTGGGATTTCCCAACCAGAGCATAGGTGGACATCAAGGTTTCCATGCAGTGACAAGAAAGTACTGGGAACAGAGTTTGCAAAGCAATCATGCTCTGCATCCTTTGCACTGATCAGGGGGTGGAAAGAAGCATTGGCAATGGTGCACAGCCATTGCTGGAACAAATACATCTTTCTGAACCCAGGAGCCACTGCCCAGGAACCAGGAAAAATCCCAGCCCAAATCCTTGAGGCATTAGAGCCCACTATAAAGTCTTTGCCAGCAGTGAAGCGCTACACAAAGGAGTAAAGCAAACACCAGAGAGAACACATGGCAGTACAGGATTGGGGAACCATCAGGCAGACAGGCAGAGGGGATGAAGGGGCAGGACAGCCAGGAGACCTACCTTTGATTTTGGGTGGCTGGCTCATTTGAAGCCTTGAGAATCCACTGGCTGACAGACTGAGGGAAGCCCAGTGATTGAGCAGCTCTGGTTTGGTAGAAAATGGAACTATTATCATCATTGCTGTGTGTGTGTGCAGTGCACATGTCACATGCCTAGCTATGAGCAATGCTGTGTGCAAAGAAGCATGCTGTGTTTGACCAGCTGTGCATCCCAGCCCAGGGTAGTTAAGCAAGTGCTGTTCTGGTCAGGTGCCATTGTGGTGCAAGCATCCTGTCTTGAAAGCAATGGCTCTTTTTTGTTTGTGGGAGGGTGGGGTGGGGGGTGGGGGGATTGCAGCACTACTTCTTGAAGGTGGTGTGTGCTAGCCTTAATGCCTTGAAAGGCTTTTTGGTGTAATGACACATGGCTGCAGGGTGGCCACTGTGGACTGTGAGGAAAAGGAGTTGAAACATTGTGCCCACACACTGGGGCAAAAAGCTCTAAGTTTGTTAGTATTGAAGCTGTTAACTAGTTAGGTAATAAAGACTGGGCAACTAACTATGCCATGACTCATGTTGAGCTTCAGCTTTGCTTTGCCTCACCCTGGTTCCCTGACAGGTGATGCAATTTTGATATGATTGGATGGCCAAAATGGCCTATGACATCGATGGAACAGAAGTAAAGAGAAAAAGTCAAGCCTGTGACACTGTGTGCTCTTGCAGTGGGGAGAGAGGTTCATGGATTGGATTTTCTTAGGTTTTCAGGGGGTTTGATTAGGTTTTGCAAGGATTCCAATAGGTTTTCATGGGATTCCTTTAGGTTGGCATTTTAGACCACCAATGCTGAAGAATCACCATTTGAAGCAGCATGAGCAGCTACTCCCTGATAACAGGAGCACGGGTCTCTCCCTTTTTTTTGACCAGCCGTGCGCGGGGTCCCACCAATCTCCCAACGAGATTCTTCGGCCTCGGCCGGAGGGGGCTCTCATGGCCAGCAGGATCGCCGGATGGCCTGCCGACCCGAAGACCATGTCCCTGTAGTCCATGTCCCCGCTCGATTTTTTGGATTCGGGAGCCTTTGAATCCACCGGGTGGCTGGCATTGAAGATTTCTGACCACAGATGGCTTGGGTCTATCCTGCTCCCAGGATCAGTTGGGAGAACAAATCTAGAGTATTAAGTAAGGTCTTGGCCACCTGCTAGAACAGACCAAACACCCTGCCAGGATCCCTTTGAGATGGAAAATGCCTCCCTGCTGCAAACAACGTGTTGGTCATCACTAAAGCCTTGCTTTCCATGGAAGAACAGCAGATTTTGGGCAGGCCATCACGCATGCGCTGGCGCCACAGCAGTCGCAGAAGCAGCTGCTCGTCCATGAAGGGGTTTGAAGCTGAATGACGTTGCAAGTTTTGTGAAGTCTTTCAAGACGAAATCCTTTGCCCGAGCAAGTTCGGAAGTTCCCACAATTCCACCCTTGATTGACTTGAAAGAAGGCTGAAGAAGGCTGGGATGGGTGACCTTTTTTTGAAATTGAACTAGCCCAAACTCGCTTGGCCCCCTTTTTTCCGCGTGGAAATGGTCCGGGTGTGGCCCGCAAAGGCTGACCCGGTCAGGATGACAGGCTTCCCAAGGCCATTCGCATGACTCGGCCATCGGTCCACTGGTTCGGCTCGCTCGAACGAGGCCGGTCGAGTTGCTTCGGTCGCTTCGGGGCCGAAGGAAAAAGCGCCGTTCGGAGCGCGGGGCCCGGAGGGCCTGACCTCTCAACCCCGAAAAGGGCCCCAACTGCCGATGTGCGTGACTCCCCTTCAAACCATGCAGTATCAGAAGAGTATCTTGAAGAGGTGAGAGTTGGGTGCAAGGCCTGGCTGCTTGGCATGCGCCTGGCGCAGCATACCACAGGCCTCAGGTTCTTTGAAGCCGGATAGCCATCGGAAGACATCGGAGACTCCCATGGCTCACCGAAAAAGACGCCTTACTCGGTTCTTTTGGCCGCCTTACTTTGGTGTAATGCGGTGGAACGCCTGACTCCGGTGGAACGTTTACTTCTTGCTCCTGGCTCAGATCCCAAAGATCATTTTGGGCAAAGCCTCATATAACTTTGAGCAATGAATACTCATGGAAGTTTAACAATATTAATAATCTAAATTAGTCTATCATATTATGTATGTCTCACCATGTCGGGAATGACTTGAGCCATTAGAGTCAGCCGGGTATCCACTGCTCGGCCTCGAGAACGTCACACTGCTTCAGACCGTGGCACCTGGTGAACTGTCGGTTCAGCCAGGTGAACTGTCGGTTCGTTTGGGCTCCTGGCCCCACGAACCGGTTTCAACCTGAACTCCCTGGAGTCCAGGCCTCCAAAAGGCATGTTACGAGGGAGGATGGGAGGTAGAACCGGTGCATGAAACAGCTGAAACACTCCAGCCTGAAGGGATTCAGGTCAGTCCTCATAGGTTGCAGTCACAAGGTTCTGATGTTTGTGTTCATGGAATTAACCTGTGTCCAGCTCCTCCAACAGGTCTATTTTTGCAGGCTTTTGGAGACCTAAAAGTGGCAGGTGGTGACCTGTTGGAGGGTGCTGGCACATCTATGTATATATTACAATATTACATATACAATATAAAGCGACAAATCATTGTATGTAGCGATATATGATATATGATATCTTTTTCCTCTTCTGTCCGGCAGGGAAGTCCACCCAATTTCATTCTGACTATCCAAACGGTCTACCCCGAACGACCTCAGGATGCCTTGCCAACTCATCTTTCCCGACGACACCATGGCGATCGGCTCGCCGGCCTTGCCGCGGCAAAACCTCTTCCCTGCGGACCGCCGCGGCGTTCTCCGCGTGCGGCGCGCGGAGAACGCGTGGGTCGTCCAGGGTTCACCGCGGCGCACGGTCGGTCCCAGGGCGGCTGAGGAAGAGCGGAACATGCCTAGCGAGGTAGACTCGAGTAGACCCACTCTGCGCAGATGATGTAAGCAGTTGTGAACTAGTGGACTGGACTCAGGCCTTGCCTTTTTCGCTATTCCCCTAATTGATTCAGAAGAACCGCGTGTTCATGTCTTCGCGAGGATGGAGAAGGGCTTCAGGAATCGGAAGAGGAGAGGCGCGGTGCTGAGATCCACAGCCCAGCCCGCGGTGCCGACATGACCCCTTTCCGACTCCGACCACATCCGATGTTCTGTGTCACGGTTCGTCCCGCAATGTTCGGGACAAGACATGGGCCGAGTCACGACGAGTAAGACTGGTCGGTGGACGAAGGCGGAGCCCGGCTCGTTGACGGTCGGACGGGCTCTCCGTCTCGTTGACGGGAGCCCGCGCAGGCAGCGGCGCTTGTTGCAGAACGAGCCGATTGTGGTCTACACCTCTCTCTCCGAGCAGGAGGCGCCCGAGCGGTCGAACACCAGAAAAACACGAGGGTCCGGTCTGGGCACGGAAGCACGAAGCTTGGACTGATGGAAGAAATCCAATACCCCCCAAAGCAGAGTGGGCTTGCTCTGTGCCTTTCATTCCTGCTGTGCAGGCTTGGATCCACGTGGCGCCAAACGTTTTGACGGGATCCAAGTGGTGCTTTTCCCATAGACCTTGGGGATCTTGCAAGTTGGGAGGGTCAGTCTAAGACGGTCACGGCGGAACCTTGGATTCTCTTGGACCCTCTTTGAGCGTGCCAACCCGCCACCGGAGAGCAGAAGATGGACAAACCCAGCGACTGGACGGCGCAGAGAGTTAGTTGATTCTGGAGACGCATCTCAAGTGGTGTCCGACCGCGCCCCATTTGTCGAGCTTGACCGGTGTGCGGCGCTGGCCATGAAGGGAGCAAAGATGGAGATGACCAGCAGCTGTCCGGCCTTTGCTGAGGGTTGCCCTTACGGGAAGAATGAGCAGATGCTCCAGTGGGTTAAGGACAAGCGCCACTTGATGCAATTCTTGAGATGTGGACAGAGGTATGACTCACATCTTTCGAAGAAAAGGGGAGCGACCCAGATCATTTGGGTTTAGAAAGCTTTGATGATGATTTTTGTATATCAAGGCCTTCAGTTTCAACTGTTCGGGAGCTTTCAACAGCGCGCAGCTTCCGACCCGCGGGACCCGGTGCGGTTCGACCCGTTGGGGTCGACCGGTTGCCGGTGCTTAAGGAGAGGACGCGTATGGCGCTTGCCCAGCCTTCAAGGCTGGGTGTCCCTTCAACGACGTCTGGGACCTGGCAGGCCGGTGCGGCGTTTGGGCGCTTGGGATGTGTGGTTTCAAGGGACTGAGGGAGATGAAGCTGGTGTCCTGTACAGGTATAGCCCCCGAGGGGGCTTTGCCTTTCGACATCACGTGGTTTTTGAGGAAAAGGAACCCACTGTTTGAGACCACCCGACCCGTAAACCTGCGTGAACTCGCCGAAAAAAACAACGACGTACCTCTGTCGCACCCCGAGGTTTGCTGTCGAAGCTGCAGGAGCTTCCGAGCTCCCATGGGCCGAGCTCGGCCACGGCGACCTCCCACGGAGCACTCGTGGAGACGTGGCTTTTGGATTCGAACGGTAGAGTGGAGTGGATTTGAAAGGGATTTGAACGGTTTCTTTTTTTGAAGAAACATGCCCATGCCAAGCATCCAAAAGTCTTGGCTTAAGGCTTCATTAAGAAGAAGGGTTTCTGGCCTTCTGTTGGAACTATATGTGTAAAACATGGTAAAACAAGGGTTGATGGGCATCTACTAACAAGGCTTCAACTTGCTGAGAGGCTGAGAGTATGTCCAGTGGAAGACCAACCATTGCTTCCAATCAAAAGAACACTGCTGGTGATCAACAACCGACCAAAAACATATTGGTGGTGTGACAACCCTCAGTTTCTGCCCGTCAAGAATCTTCTAAGACTGAGCTCCGGCCTCCCCCACTGCAGGTGGACAAAAAAATACAAAAAACCAACACACCAACTTGAGAGTTTCTGGTATTTCCCCTCCCACCCCTCTTTAAGGGATGCCATTGGCACCGGGAGCGGAGAAAAACCGCAAGAGAGCCGGAGCCCCCCCTTGAAGTCGGTGGCAGGATCCACATCTAAGGAGATGCTGAGCACGGTGCATCAAGCTTCGCAGCGCCTATGGCTGTGATATGTGGTTGTTTCCTGGGGCCAAAACAGGAACCTGGGGGAGCCTGACACATATCTTGAGGAGCCTGACACGTGTTCGAAGTCCACTCCTGGATTGTTTCGGGAGAAATGGAGGGCTTTGGCAAACCTTTTTAGGGAGAAATTGATTCTTGGAAGGACCCCGACTGCTCGTCCGTGTTCATCGGGCAGTCAAGTGGGCGTTTCGACGGTGCAGAGCCGACCAGTTTTTGGTCCTGGGACCCCTGAGGACGATGAAGCAGGCCGTGGGCCGCGAGTGCCCCGTGTTCCAGGCGTCGTCGCCCGTGTTCGTCGTTCCTGACGGTGATGTGTGAGGATGAGAAAAACGGTTCACAGCGTTGGACCGTGACGCTCCGTGAGTTCATGCGACATGAGGGTGCAGGGTCGCATCTGGGGGAGAGATACTTCTCTGGATTCTTTCCTCGGACATTAGCCCTTCACAGATGTGTGAAGCGGCGTGAAAGCCGTGTGAGAGCCACTATTACATTATAGACATGCATTTCATGATCTCTTCTCTTTCACTGTTCCTCTCCTCCAAGTGTTAAAGTCAAGTCATTTCATGTCATTTCCTGATTTGTCCGGGGAACACATCACATCAGGACACGGTTTCTTTAGACCTATTTCTTCAGAAGATCCGAACAAAAACCCTGCAGATGGGCTATCGCATGGGTTTCCGCCCCATGGGCTCGGTGTGATTCAGAGTGGTTCTTCGCCTCGTCGAAGGAGTCTTGCCCCTTCAAAGCCGCCTCGACCTCCAGCGGGACGCCCTTGGCGCTGGCACTGGAGACCCGCTCCTGGGGGCTTCTGGCCTGCGACGCAGAGACGGGCCTGGCGCAGAAGTTGAAGGAAGGCCTGGCGCAGGTTTTCGCTCAAACAGTTTCTGCTGGGGTTCTCTCTTAGGAAACACCAGGGCTGGCCACGAAAGCCGTCTGCTGTCCGCCCTTTCTTGTGTCCCGGCCAAGGCCCCGGGTCTGTGTGTCCTGGCTGTCCGTCCCCGGCTGCCTTGGTCGTCTGTGGCTAGAAATGCGCATGTCCTCATGCAGCGTTTGGATTTGGATCTCATTCCCGACATCTATTTTTCTGCGGGACCTCCTGACTCATCTCTCCACATTGAATATCGAAGCTCCAGCAACGAAGGAACCATGCGAACGGGCGGAAACCACCTTCGGACGGTTCGGCCGACCTTTGGGACCAGACGGGGACGGTGCGGTCTGGCCGACAGGGCCCTGTATGACATAGGGCACAGTCCTTACGAAAAGTGAGTGTTGGTGAAGTTGGTCAACATACTCAACCTACTACATAGCCTTCCAGAAAGCATCAACAGAAAGGCTGACTTCGTTTCATGAGTTGAAAAAAGGATCTCTCTTGCAAAGCAATGGTCGTAATACTGTAGACATTTTCTGGTGGTTCAGCTTTCAATGCAACCCCCGGTATGTTCATCTTCTCTGCCGAATTCACCACATGGGCTCGTCCCCTGTCCCCAGCTTGGTTTTTCGGCGCTGCTAGGCACTGCCGAAGCGCACAAGGCTGCGGAAAACGTGCACTTTGTGAAGGAGTTCATCAAGTGTCGCGTCGATCGACAGATCTACGCACAATTCGTGGCCACTTGGAATGGATGCGAATCGCTTTGCTTTTTTAAAATCCGGTGCCCACGCGAAACGTGTTTTGCGGAAGAGTTTTGCCCCTTTCGGAGGTGTGACAGGTCTTGGGTGGCAGCTGCTAGGTAGCGACTGAATTTGGGACAACATGCAAAGCAGATTGCGACGATTCGATTGAAACATATTGAAACTGGTTTCGTTCCTTATCAGTTGGAGCTTCCTGATGCTTTCCGTCGTCCTGCTGTTTCTCAGGTGAACCTATACCACATCTATCAGGCCCTGGAGGACGGGGCTGGCGGGATCCGCTTGGAGTGGCGCTGGGATCCGCTTGGAAGCTTCACGTGGTCATGGTGGTCTAAAAGTCTAACAGGCCTGAACGTTTTGGTTTTCCTGGCTGGGCTACGAAATCGGAGTGTTTTTGGGAAAGGGATGGAAAGGGACACTTTCTAGTTGCTCCAGATGACGGTAGGATGGCTATGTACTCCCAGTGGTAGATGATGCTGATAGGTTTTAAGTCTTTTAAGTTGTACCCTCTAGTGACTCAGATGTGGCAGGATGACTGTTCGCCTCAGTGGCTCGTGGTCGCCTCTTCGCCCTTCGAAAGGCGGTCGGCCTTGGCCTCGCCTCGCGCGTCCGACTCGCGTTGTCGCGCTCGCCATGGGTCGTCCAGAGCAGTCCCAGGAGGCATTGGAAGCGAACGCCGAGCATCCCTTAGTGGAGTCCCTGCACTTTCCAGAGGCGGTGCGAGGGCCCGCGCGGTTGGTTGTGCGTGGACGGTCCCGAGGTTTTCACCTCGGGTGCAACACATGGGGCGGTTTGGTCCCGAAAGAGCCATGAAAGCCTCACTGAGTGGACCTCAATCCGGAAGGCTCTTCCTGAAGGTCTCCAAACTTGACATTTAAACACAGGCCTTGAGGACTTCCTCCACTTCAAGTGGTTCTGGAGATGCATGGATGCTTGTGAAACCATCTTCTTGCTGGGAATGGAGAACACTGATTGCACAGAACATGTGTCCGAACATGTTCAGGAGCTGGAGCGTGCTGAGACACTCAAGCGTGACGCGGAGTTCTACTTGGGGAGCAACTGGGAGCAGGAGCGACAAAAACCGGAGGGTTCAATACCATGACATGCAGTCCAGGAGTCACATGTCGGGGTGGTGTTTAGTCCCAGCCAGTCGAACGTGACTCCTGGGTGACATGCACATCAGGAAACCCGGTGCCAGATTGGAAGCATCTGCATCTCGGTGAGACTCTTCCGCATCATCTCAGGAGACTCTTCCGTCGAAGGTCACGCGTGAATACGTCCAGCGCTTGCGGCAGCTCAAAGAGGATGCACCTGAGTTGTTGATCCCTCACGCCTACACCAGGCGTGTGTGTCTTCATCAAACGAACGGCCCGCTTCAAACGAATGGCGCTCCAAAAACTCTGTTCACACCCCTCGAACGGCGCTTCTTCTTCTCCCATCAGACTCGGGCGATCGACCGGGTGCGCCCGTCTCCCGCGCGGGTCGGAGCCGCGAGGTATTTGGGCGACCTGAGCGGCGGGCAACTGCTGAAGAAGGCGGCGATTCGGGGGATGCAACTGCCGGAGGATGGGTCCGGAGCGTCTTGGTTTGAGCGATCGTGGCGTCGCGTCCACCGTTTTTCCATCGTTTTATATCCCTCTCTTCTGCCCAAAGCTTTGTACACCTTTCTGGGTCATCGGAAAAGAGATTTGGAAACATGTTCGGCTCAGCAGACTTGGACAAGATTGTCCTGACTCGGTGCTGGGTTGTTTCCTTTTTTATCCTTTTTTGGCTTCATGGAAGACACACTGAGGTGCACTTCTACAACTTCCGGCGGATTCGCGACGCTCGGCCGGGATATTATATAGTATTGTGAATCCCCGCGGTCACGGGAATCCTGTCGGCATGGCTTCACGGCTTCACCGAGGGTGTGAGCGGCGTGAGCCGGTCGCCCGGGATGGATCCCTTTCTGTGTCACCTCCCGAAGTCAAAGACCATAAGAGGAATGGTCAAACTAGGTCCCTAGGTCCTAGGTGATGCGAAAGGAATGTCCTCTACAAGGTCCATGGTGCCAAATACAGTCGACTTGGACTTCTAGGGAGTCTCGGTCGGTTTGGGGATCTCATGCGTGACTGAAAAACACTCTTGTACAAGTGATTGGTCTGTCTACCAGTTTCTATGTGGGTTTTGTGGAGAGTTACAAGTGAGGTTGGCTTTCAGTTACTGTAATCTGCTCTCCTCGCTGAATCTTCAGGAAAGACTTCAAGACGTCGATTTCGACCGGTGTCTTCAGCTGCTCCTCACCCCTTGGGTTTGGGTTATTTGGGTACGCACATGGAAAACGATCCCCTTGCGGAAACACCCACAGTGCCGAGTTTTCATATCGAGTCGCTGTACCCACACCCGAGGACAGCAGCGAGTCGGGTTCTGTACCACACCCGGCTCGAGTCGAGCCCGCCCTGAGGATACCATGACCTTCAAGAACATGTATCGTGCACGCATGGACAGCTTAGCAGCTGACAGCAGCACCGCTGACCGCATGGTCAAGGAGGCGAACTACGCCTTCTTCCTGAACACTCGCAGCCTGGATTATTGAAGTTTGCCCCAACAAACATCAACAAACCCTCAGTTTGTTATGAATAAGGATTGAGACATTTTGGCTTCCTGGGTAGGTACAGAGCTGTTCCGGTTCCCAGGTCAAACATGGTGACATTCCCCGACCAAAGTGCAGGCTTCCTGATCTTCATTCCTCCTGTTTATATACATATATGTATATGATATATATATATATATACCAGCACCTTCCAACAGGTCTCCTTTGGAGGTTTGTTAGGCCCTAACAGGTTTCAATTGGTGACCTGTTGGAGGTGCTGGTATAGGTCATTTGCTGTTGAAGATTTTAAAGTGCAGACAGATCTTTTGACCATGTTACCATGTTCATTTGTTCACCACTCATAAAACCCACGAATGACACTTCCGCCTGGCTCCTTCACCCAGGCATTTTTCAGGAGCTCGACTCCCTTGCTGGCTTCGAGGCGGACCCTGTGCCACCCCCTGTGCCGACCACCGCCGCGGCACCCAGTGCTGTTTCGGCCGCTGCAGCTGCCAAGGCGGCTGGATGCCCGTTCGCACACCTCGCAGCGGCTGGGGTGGCCATGCCGGAAGGGCATGGAGGCGTACAGGCGAGTGCTGTTGAGGGGGTGAAAGCATCTTGAATCTTGACTCACATAAAATAGAGCTGACATGTTTGCTGGAAGGGCAGTTGGCAGGTGGGCTTTCTTGACGATGCTGCGGACATATACATCGAGTTATGGATTTTACCATAGGGAAAACCCTCTTACAACCTTCCATGATGGCTACGCCTTGTTGCTACAGCGCCTTCAGGTGCCCGCACCCGTGACCGCCGCCCCGCTGTGGCGGTCGATCGCCGTGGGCGCCTCCGCGGCTCTGGCGATGGCGGTGGTGCTGGCCGTACGGAGGACTCGGCGCAGCTGAGCGGAAGAGACACGGAGAGACGTGGCTGTGAAGGGTTTTACGAAGTACGAGATGTGCGCACGGTTTTTTGCGGGTATGGGGAGTTTCCGTGAAAGAGTGGACCTGGTTTTTGCTTGTGTTTGGCAAGGCTTCCGAGCTCGCGACTGGGCGGTATGTTCTATTTTCTATTTATAGACATGAGTTGCGAGAGGGTGGACTCCCTTACCCATGGCACTTGAATTCGTGACACTCTTTGAAGTGCGCTGTATGTTTTGCGCCCAGCAGTCCTAGGGGACTGCGGGCCTGGCTCAAATCAGTGGCCCGGCTGAAAGCCGGGTCGGAGGACTTTGGCCTCTTGTGACTTGTAAAATCTTGTAAGTGGATGTAAATGGTGGGTTTGTAAGAGAGCCTACTAACCTACTACTCTACTGCTGGAAAGATCCAGCTGGAAATCCTGAACACCCTTCAGCAACTTGAGCTGTAACTACTTGTAAGTGTCCCAGCCCACCTAAGAGTGGATGAACGCTTTTCTTCCAACAATGGCTGGACAGTCATGATACTCCCTTTATCATCCATTCATACGCCGGGCTGAGACACACTCAAGTTGTAACGACTTCATACGCGGAGGGTTCGTACAGGTACTGCTCCTCATACAGCTTTCCACGCCCCAAAAGAGAGTGCCGACGTGCCTGGGAACTGGGAGCTGCTGGAAGCTGCTGGGAACTGGTGGGAGCGGAGCTGGTGGCTGAAGTGGCCCAAGTGATGACGTGATCTCTCTGGTCACCGGTGGTTGCTCGACACCCCTGGTCCGAGGCAACCCGGACACCGGGCGGGCCATCGCTCACCATCCGATGTCACCGTCCCTCCTATGCTCCACGTCCTCACGTCCACCGTCCACCCTGTCCTCACCCCGCAGGTCCTTCTCCCTCGGGTCGTCCTCGGGGTCGGACCGGGTCCACGCCACCGGGTCGGACGGATCAGAGACGGACGGCCGGACGGAGAGAGACGGACGGCTTCGGTGTCCGTCCGGCCCCGGCAGCTTCGACCTGCGCAGAGAGGTCTCGTTAGTCTCGTTAGCTCTGACAGCTTCCCTGTGGCGCAGAGAGGTGCTTCTGCCGGAGATTGCCAAGAGAGGACTTGCACTTCTACTGGTGCTCGCGCTGCAAATGGCCACGCGGCCAGCAATGGGTTGGAAGATGGGTTGAAAGTGCAGACTGGTTGGTGCTTTGAGTTACTTTGTTGCTTTTTTCAACTAACTTTCAACCCCTATTTGGGAACGATTTGGATGGTGGAAAAAGGTCCACGACGGTGCGCCGGGTCTGAAAAAGGGTCGAGTGGTTCCATCCTGGATCTTCCAACGGTGCAGAAGTTCTGCCCTTTAAAATACATCTCTAAAACCAGCCAAAAAGGATGAACAAGGCAAACAGTTGTGATGACCTTCTGACCTTCTCATTCCTTGAAGCAAGGAGTACCTTGAAAACCCAACCCTGGCAAAAAACGTACTCTTTCAAGCAAAAGTGTAATCGGGAGTGAAAAGTGCTATCGTGTCTTCCTGGCCCATTTCAGTGGACACAGATCCACTTCAAATTGACCCTTCAAACCTGACAAACTTGGGCCATATTTTTGTCCGGGTATTTCCGCCTTTGTTCCGCCGATTTCCGCCTTTTGGACGGGTATTTCCGCTCTTGTTTCTTAGTTTTCTTTTGAGCCCGGTGGCTGGGAACCCTTTGGATCCGGTTTCTCATGTAACATGTCTGGAATGTTGTGAAATACCAAAAAGTGTATGTTGGGATCTGTGAATTTGAGAAAGTCTCATTCTTTCACATTTTTTTTTTCCAAAATGACTAAAATAATGCACTAGGTAGATAAGGACCAGCTTTCGATCGGTGATTTTCTGGGCTCCAGGTTTCGAGACGCCACGGACCCCAACGGACCCGATTTGCCGCCCACGATTTGAACGGACCCGGACGTTGGGGCGCCCAGCGCGAAGCCGACCGGCCCAAACGCCACAGCCGACCGCCCGCGCGGTCTGGGTGGAGGTTTGCATCATCATCATCCTCACAGGTGGTGAGGTGGGAGCTCTCGGGAGGGCGGGAGGAGGCTCATTGATGAGATGAGCATAGCCAGGTGCTGGGGAAGAAGGGATGATTCTCTTCGAAAGGTCGTGAAGATTCGTGGAGTCCATGAGGGCATTTTACACTCCATGTGAAAAGTCCATGAACATCGCGGGTGGGTACAAAGATCAAAGCTGCCTGCATTTTTCGACCCAAAGTCGAAAAACAGATCGGAACTTTTGCGCTTGAGATCGAGCCTTTCGAAGAAGGTCAAGAGTCAAGAGTCAACCCTGGAGCCCTAGGTGAAGAGCTAGTGTAGCGACTCTTGGCTTTGAGCTTGGGGGGTGACGTGACTCTTCATGGGGCCCTGGGGTTTTCATCTTGGAGGGATGCTGCAGCCAGAGTGTTTGGTGCGTCTTGCAACACTTGGTAGAAGAAGGACAGAGCGATTTGTGGGTCGTCCTTTGCCTATTGGCCTATTGGCCTCCTTTTTTCCCATCTGTTCAGCCAATCTCATGTGAGATGATGGTCCAAGCTTCTGATGGTCTGGCACTCAGCACAAAACTTTATGTTACCAAGTATCACCATCTGGCACAAGGTAGAACCATCTGAATTACATATACCAGCACCTTCCAACAGGCCTCCTTTGGAGGGTTGCTAGGCTCTAACAGGTTTCAATTGGTGACGAAGCACCCGTCCGTTTCGGACGACCAAACCGACCTTAAGCACGACCGTCAGTCCAGTGACGGGAACGCATGACATGGATGCGAGGCACACCAGTTGTTTGTGGAGGGCACCAGCAGTCCCAGCCATCTGCAGGTTGCGCCAGGGGGGCACAGGAGGAGTGGATCGCCTCGGATGGGCTGTTTTGGGTGGGGACTTGTCTAGCTTACAGTAGCATGTGTTAGGTTAGCAGTTTTCATGCCCAGTCGATTCATGTATATTGGGTTCAGTTCCGAAGATCAGAAGGTTCAGTTCCGAAGATCAGAAGGAAGGCCCTCATTCCCCATTTCCTTGTATATCCATCATCCCTCCTGCAAGGCTGTTTGGGCCACCAAGTAGTGCTGGAGAAGATGCTGGGCGGGCGTTTCTTGTTGCAACCAATCCATACACTAACCCTTCATGCTTTATCCTTGGTCCGCAGTGTTCTTGACTACCATCAAGGAATTTTCAGAGGTGAGGCCGGTGAGGCCGGTGAGGTGACTACCCGTCATCAATGTTGGGCTCCACCCGTCAGCACCTGTCTCCGTTGTAGGTGATGCTCTATGGGTCCCAGATAGCACTACAGCAGCTCTGGCTTCCGATCGCTTTTGTTTTGCGATCGCGCGCAGCAACGGTGCGCGAGCTTGGTCGCGGCTCCGGTCCATTCCCGAGGGAACTCCACAAGAAAGGACGAGAGCTGAGGGGCACATGAGTACATGAGCATGTACGAGAAACTACACAAGCATGCTTTGTTCGGGCCAATGATGATGCAAGCTTGGGCATGACCTGGCAGGATTCTTTTCATGGTTCATCCGCTGTTGAGTGTGACCCACTGAGTAGAGCTGCTTGACCCAGGTCCGCTGAGTCAAAACTGCCTGGGTCAGAGTCGGTCGCAGGAACCGAGCGAAGCCGTTGAAGATAGGGCCGTTGAACATGGGTGCCCCAAAATGGGTGGTGCTCCGTCTCAAAACCACAGCAATTCACGTGTTTGTCTTTTTTTGCCGTTCCGTTTAGGAGATCCAGTGACAGCTGGAGACGCCCCCAAAACTGCCTTGAAAACACCCGGAACTTCGCTTCTTTGCAGCTTCGCTGTCTCTCATTTCAACGCCTTTTTTGGACCGGTGATTCGACGGTGAAAAGTCCAGCGGGGTTTTCTCCACTTGCCACCGAACGGCGGTAGCTGAGGCCCATCTTCTTGTTGGCCATGTATCTATGGAGCCGGGGAGCTTAGAAGAGAGGCGTCGAGTGGAGAAGGACGCTCAGATTCGTGGGGCACCCAAGGAGCTCACCAGGTGAAAGAAGCTCCACCACGGGACGGCACCCAGGAAAGTGACATGCCACGAGTGACGCTGCTCCGGTGACGCTAACAGGTGCAGACCTCTTGAAGATCTACACCGTCTTGAGCCAGCTGCTCTTCGCCCGAAACTCAGCGGCTCGAATCGCATCTTTGGGTTTGATTTGAATATTGTCCTATTGTAGAGGGGTGAAGGATGGTGAACACCTTGAAGGTCTTGCATGATCTCACTCTCTTTTGATGTCTTCGATTTTCAGATTCCACTCTGATCCACTCCAGAAACCTGCTCTGAATCAGGACCGTTGACACCTCCGTCTCAGAACACGGAGTTCCGCGGTCCACGTGTCGCGGAAGGGAAAAACCCTGAAAAAGCGAGGTGCTCATGGCGGCTTTGGCCATCCGAAGCCCCTTGGACATGCTGGTGGGGCGGCTCAGATCGAAGCCGTTTCCCCGGCGACTCCGAGTGTGCGGGCCACTCCACGGTGGATGGTGGGTCCTGGTGGTTTTTTTTGGTTTCTTTCTAGTTACTATATTGAAAGCTTCTTGTTACCACGAGCGATGGCCTCCAACCTCAGAGCGATGGCCTCCACCTAGAAGCTTCTATAGTTACTAGGTCATCTTGAAGCAATCCCAAAGCACTTCGGAAGGGCCACACGCAGCCTGGGCTGCCTGACACGAGCCGAGAGCGGGTGTCGCTCACTGCGCCGCGGCTTAGGTCTGTATCCTCTCGGTGCCCCTGATCCTGCTGGGGGACGGCATTCGGCATCTGATGATGCGCGGAGTTCCCGGGAGTCGGGTGAAGCCGGCGCGGAGCGGCGGATCGAAGCCGTAAGAGGAGCGGTTGGGCGGCCGATGAAGTGGTCTTCCGAAAATGCCAGATGAGCAGATGCTTCATCGACTCGAGCCGAAGCCAGAGATCTAGCGTTGATCAGAGCTAGAAGACATGAAGCAATCGAATTGGATGTTGCGATAGGACGGACCGTGTGTGACACCGGTCGGTTCCCGATTCGGTACCCCGGGCGCGGTGACGCCACCCAGTGCCGAGGCCCCACTGCTTCGTCTTGAACTGAAGGGGCGGCTCGGAGCTCTTTTCCTCTTTTTTGGGGGGGGAGATGGGAGTGAGTGGAACCCAGCCGCCTGAGAGGGGTGAAGCTTGGAGGGTGAAGCTCTGGTTTTCGATGCTGGGATTGGGCGAAAGTTTGGCGTGTTTTTTTTTTTTTTTCGCGGGTTTCGATGCAGAATGGCCTGTCATGTTCATTCAACACTTTTCGACACCCTGGGAAGAGGGAATCTATGCGGGGGGTCTTGTAATTATAGGAGAGAACTTCAAAGCAAGTGCAGGCGAGTTGGGTCAACGCTGCAAACCCAATGAATTTCAAACGATTTTATCCTACTGAACAGGTCCGGCGATTTGAACTTCTGCTTTTGTGAAACCCTGAAAGGCTTTCTCATCGGATGTCGTTCTGAGGCGCGTGCTCCACGCGCCTGCTGTGTGAGACAGAGCGGGTCACAAGCTGTCCGATGTACAAAGCAGTGAGCCCGCGTTTCGGGCAGACAAGTCAAAAGCAGAGCGGCACATGTTGGAAGCTGAGGGGGCATAGTTTGACACAGGGAGACCTTCCAAAGACATCCAAAGACTGGTTGGAGTTTGGAAGAACGAACATAAGACCAAGACCCAATGATGATGGGGAGGTCCCTACATGTTCTAATCTATAGATAAAATAAATATATATACTTAATTGACACATCCAAACTCCGAACTCCTCCATGATTTTCACCATGTTCAACCATTCTCCTCGGCGAGGCCTTTTTTGGGGCTCGAGCATGGACTCATTTTTCTGACCTCCAGGCCCAGGTCACCAGGTCATTGAGATATAAAAAGATGGAGACGACTCGCAGCTACGTTGTGCATCGCTACGTTCGTAACAAGTGCATTACCACGTTCGTAATAAGAAGCTACTAATAGCGATGCATTTGTTACTATAGTAGCTTCTTGTTACTAGGGGTTGACAGCAGGGGACTCAGCTTGCCAGGCACAGGCAGAGAACTGGAACGAGCTTCGGGTAGCCCATCATGCAAAGCCTCGGTTTCCATGCAGTCGATCATTGGGTCTCCATCAAATCCCAAAGGCGTTTTTTGTTTTTTTTAAAGCACCGAAAAACCTCGTCCAGGAATGTCCAGGAAGGTCCGCCCCCCCCCAAACCTCATGAACATCTTCAAATTTTGTATCCACACCATGGGCGTGTGGTGGTGCTTGGCTGGAGTCACCGGAGGTCTCCGAGATCTTCGACTAACGTGACCCGCAGGCGCTGTTCCCCTTGGAGGAACAGATCGACTCATCCTTGGCTTCAGTGTATGGAGACTTAAGGGCCTATGCCACCAGGCGCGGGGGTGGTCACCAGTGTATGTTTCAAACGAACGACTCCACTTTTTGCTACTATAGGAGGGAAGCGATGCACTTGTTACGAACGTAGTAATGCCCTTGTCACGAACGCAGCGATGCACTTGTTACTAAGACTCTGAAAGGTTTTATGGTCGTTAGGTGGCGCGGGTTCAGTGAGACTGAAAACCCCCAAAAACCATCCATAAGCCATCCCCTTTGCAACCAGACTCGGTTCTAGCAGTTTAATGATCAACGGTTCGGACGGATTTCCAGTTCTAGTTGTTCAGGTCATCGTTGTGGGGGGATCATCACATATCGTCCTTCCAATCCTTGTCATCCCAAACACGCGAAGATGATACACTTTAATCATCTTTAATCTGGAACAGCTCGAAACCCCTCAGAATGTACTCCTCCAGGATCCCCTCCAGATCCCCCACGAAGACAGTTCGTTCTGCCCTCCTCCCAGTGCCCTCCTCCCCGGTGCTGTTCGCCTCGCCTCTCCTCCGAACCGTCACTTCAACCAGGTCGTCCTTGATGACCGCGCCCCATTCGACGCCAGAGAACAGCGACATCCAGATTCTGCCCGAAGGCCCGAAGGCCGAGGTGTGCTTTCACCGGTTGGGGTCTTGGCCTCCAGACTTGGCACGCGGGGTACGCCGCGCGGTGAAAAAGCGGTGGATGGCGGGGGCCAATGTCGGTTGTTTGGCATTCCAGGTAGCATTGCTGTCACTTGAAGACTAGAGACCCTACAACCCGTTGGCGTCCAGGACGGGCCGCCCAAATTTTACCACGAACAGATAGATTCTGGAGTCTGTATCTCTTGAGCTGTGATCCAGTGACTCGGCAACAAGGTATGCATACGCTAGCTGCTTACTGGGCCACCCCACTTTCTGCGCAGAAGGAGCCCCTCACATGGCCGTGAGGCTTCCGTTGGCATGGCTGAGCGCTCGGAGACATGCGGATGCGGCTGAGAGAAGACATGCGACGGGACCATCGGTGGGATGTGACTGGGGAGGAGTTGAATTGCTTGGAATCCATCCTGGGTGCCGAAGGCTTCTTCCTTCTAGGTGCGACAGTCGGCTCACATCCCATGTCAGAAAGGGTTCCTATCCACAAATGAGAAGAAGAACCAACATTATTGTTCTCGATTTTTACATTGTCGTTGTTACATCTTTTGTTTAAGTGCTGGAGAGAAGTTGGCACCTCACCGACGGTGGTGCTCGAACAGAGCAACATCAGAACGACGGGCATGTGGACGGGACACGGCCTGTTCACGGACAACGGTCCACGTCCGCTTACGCTAGAGTGGCATGTGGCTTACTACGCCGCGCTTGAGGTGTCCTTAGTTGCTTGAGTTGAGTTGCTGAATGAGTTGGCTGGGGGTTCGAACAGAGCACTAACGCTTATATACTCTTAGTGACGTAGCCTGAATACATTTATATATGGTGCTGACGGTCAAACAATATTTAATCAACATTCTGGATCGAACTGCATAGTTTGCGGAGCAAATGCATGGAGGACCAAGAAGCAGTCAAAAGCCTTGATTGCGGAGAGAGGTCACCATGATCACTGGGAGAGAAAGATCCCGGGCTACCGGGCTCGATCTTTGGATCTTCTGAATTCTGTGAAGCAAAACACGTTTTGAAGGGTACCCATCAGTATCAGCCTAACATCTTCAGCACGACCGGGGGGGAACACGAGCCGCCGATCCCGCCGATTCCGACCATGGCACTGGAGTCCCCGCGGCCGCTGAGAGGTGGGTCCCGCTATCGTGGTCCGGTCGACCGGTTCGTGCGGGTCGGTTTGTTTGGTCTTGGGTGAAGAAGGAAGAGGTTGGTCTTGGGCTTTTTGTGGCTTGGATTTGAAGGACTTCACCTCCCGATGGTTTCCCTATATACATCTATATACTTTTTCACACCAGTCTTCCAGACTCTTCTGGGCCACGGGTCTCCAAAGCAGGGAAGACGATTTCTCCAGTGTTCTGAGGGGAGCAAACAGTGAATTTGCTGGGAGGGCTGGCTGGTTTTTGGAGACATGTGCACAGTCCCATGCCACATCAGTAAGAGCCAGTTCAATTCTGGATAAGAGGCAGTTTCAAATGGACAAAATACCATTACTGTATTTTTTTCTTGTTTTGATTACCGCCGCGTATGGTCGACGCATCGAACATTTGGGGTTGAACGTAAAGCGAGATACCGACCACCGCACACCGCACTCTTTGAACGTATGTCTGTGACACCAGTGCTTTCGAACCTTGCGAAAGGGGAGTACTGGGCTCATGGGGTAGCACATTTGTTTGAATCAGGTGGGCGTGTTTCAATTTCATCATGTGTCCACTCTTGGGCCAACATGGCAGCACGGAGCTGACCGAAGGAACCAGTCATTCTAACATCCTTCACAGTATGTCTCGTTTTCAGCGGGGCCACAGAAATCCTTCCGTGGCCCTCCATCTGGCTGAATGCCACGGAACTGGAAGAGTGCCAAGTGTAGACGGCAGTGCAGTGGGTGTCAAAGCCTTTAAAGTCCGTAAGGGGTGGGAAGCCCACGAAAGAACTGTATACAGTATATCAGTATATCACATGTTGAATGTGCGAATGAGGCTCAGTGGGACCTCTTTACTGGTATATACCATTATACTGTACATAGACCTTCCAAATAAACAGGAAGTGACAGTAGATTCCAAATTCCCACTCAAAATGTACAGTATTGGAAAGCGTTTCTATCTATTTGGGGATCGCTATATCCAAATTTGTATAAATCAAAGGAAGATGGAACATGGAAACAGAAGATGAGCCCATCTTGCTTTGCAAGCAGTTGTTTGGACCTTGAAGCCCAAACGCCTGATATCCTGGCTTCAAACATCTTCCCCAGACTGCGAGACACATGTAAAGAATGGGAGATTTTTCGGATTTGCCAGAAGGCCTTGGACCCTCAGCTTTGCAAAGTCCTTGGCCTACAGCCCATCACGCCACCCCTCCGGTCCTGACATCGACGTTGTTTTTGAAAGAAGGCCCATCCGACCGGCGCCCGACGGATGCGCTGGCTCCGCGTTGCCAGGCGAGGGTGGCTACGAGGCCGCTGGATCGAAGATCAAAGCAGGACGTGGACCTTCAGTGCTGTGTTCCCATATATAATCCATATATACATATATTGTGTATATATATAATATTTTATAATTGTATTACATATTCAGCCAAATATACTGATACTATTTATACACGGTGGTAGAGATGTTGGTCCCAAGGATGACTTGGGAGATGACATAGGACACCATTGATGGGTGTTTCAGTCATGCTCGACTATTTGGGGGTTAGCGAGCTTCCCATCAAGATGAAGTCCTCCCAATAGCGACATCGGAAGAATCCAACAGAATCTTGACACAGCTTCAAGACAGGTAGTCTGGGAGAGAGAGAGGGGGGAACCCTCCTTTCAATTCGTCAAAGAAAGAGGGGCTCAATGGCACATGAACATGCTTCCGATTTCTTTTTTTAACACAAACTTCTACCGGCACCCTCCAACAGCTTACTGACCTGCCACATTCTAATTAAGTCTCCAAAGAGACATGTTGGAAGGCTGCAGACCTCTTGCTTTTGAAACGCTTGAGTCTCTCGTTACACACCATCCCCTGTCACTGCCGCCGGAGGCCTTCAAAGCAGCTCCGTCCGCGACGGCCTCCGCCCAGACGGGACGGACGGCGAGGACGGAGCGTTCGACCCGCGGGTGCCGCCGCGAAGCAGACGACCGCGGGTGCGGCCGGTGCGCCGGGGGCGGGGTTCATCCGGTTTTTTTTCCGGAGAACTCACATTCCAAGCATTCCATGCAGCTCGCCCTGGACCGCGTGTTTTCGCTGACCCGAAAACCAGACACATGGGCAGTGGAGCAACCGAGCAACGGTCCGTCTCGTCTCTTGATTCAGGAGATCCGTCGAGACGCTGATGGGTTTCACGGGTCGTGTCGTGCTAAGAGGCTAAGAGTTGGCTTGGTGATGGAGAGAAATTCCACGTCTTGAGGAGTTCAGAACTTTTATTATAATGTAGACTCTTGATTAAGAACACCCCCAATTTGAATTCGACATCCTCTTCATATGGGGGTTTATTAATCAAGAGTCTACATTATAGTCGAAGGTGAAAGGATGGAACCGATCGCAGATCCTGATTGACAATCTTCAAATCTTCCGATCCTGGAAGTCTAGGCAGCTCTGTTTATGAAAAGCACTGATGGAGAGCGCAGGGGCCCGAAAATCATCAGGTTCTTCGTTGAGCCAGCCCAGAAACAGTCCAAAGAACATCACAATTTTCTCTGCAAGGTTGAGGTTGTTGGACACCAACATGGGTCTCTGAATGACCTTTCAATCGCCTAAGTCGTCTCAGATCGGATCTCAGCTCCGGGACCCGTTTCGCGCTCCGGAGACCGGCGGTGGCCCTTTGACGGGTGACCCTCCTGTCAACGGGGGCACGGCTGGTGGCTTCAACTCAGCTGGTACATCAAATGGTTTCGCACGTGCAACGCCCACGTTTTCGCCCCCCCCCCCGCGAGGGGAGGCGGTCGGTCGGAAGCGCGGTCGGTCGGAAGCGCGGTCGAGGCTCCGGCTGCGGGGGCCGGACCTGGAAGAGGCTCCGGAGGTGCTGCGTGGGACGGATGGTGGGGACACCGGGTGATGGTGGAGACACCGGGTGGGAGGGATTTGCAAGGTTTCAGAAACATCAGATCCCTTCAACGGATTGTTTTTCGTATGTTTTCGTTAGTAATTATATACTCCCATCCGGATCCTTGTGAATTTATTTGACAGGTGGAGACACTCTATAGCTTAGTATTTAATTGTGGTTTGAGTATTGTCCGCCCCCAAGAGATCGTGAAATGGTCTCCAACACGTTCCAATTTGGTCGCCGGGTTGAGCGACGTCGACGTGCCCTTTTCAGTGACGGACGTCGTCTTGACGACGTGTGACACGTGCGCTCTTCCTGAAGATCTCGGGCTAGGAGGTGAACATCTGTGATTCTTGCCAGAAAGAGCGTGACAGGACTTTTTGCCAAAGGTTCTGAGGGTCAGTTCTCACATCCGGCTGGTGTTTGACTGGTGTTCTCCATCTGAAAGGATCCCAAGACTCAGATCACCAAAGAAGTTGCTCCATGTGCTCAGTGAAAAACCCGTGGAAGACTGGGACATCTGGTGAGACTCGCTGTCAGCGCCGCGTAAGAGCAGACTCGATGTCTGAAGTTTGAAGAAGCTCCAACTCGTCTGCCCTTCCCTCGCTTGGCCGCTCAAGAGAGCCGAACTTCGGCGAACCCACTCCTTCCCCCTTTCAGTCCACGCGCTTCCGGCAGCGGCGGTGCTGGGCATAGGCTTGACCGAACAGCGGTTTTACCACAGATTCTACACGACAAAACCAGGTCAACCATTCATTAATCCATGGGGTCTTGGAAAGCTAGGGAGATCCGAGTTTTGGATGTTTGGATCCCCTGGTGACCTCCCAGAGACCTGTTGCTTTTGCTCGCAAGTCCGAAGCTGGGAAGCCTTGAAGGCCGGAACAAGAGGTGGTCTGAGAAGAGTTGGGGCGAATCTTTGGGCCCAGTCGGAGGCTTCCGGGCTTCCCCATTTGAATACGATGATCGTTTGATCACCAATGACGCAAGACCTTCAATATAGTACCCACTGACCGGGCAAGTCAGATGCCTAGAAAGGGCGAGGGAAATCAAAGCAGCCACATAGATGGGCCTTGGCAGTTTGAAAAAGTCCTTAGTAGCCTTGGTAGGGTTGCCATCCAGATGGTCTCAGGTAAAGTGGCTCCACAGCCGATCTAGGGCTTCGGAAGGTGGTAATCCACAGCCATGTTCTCGGCCTACGAGTGCATGCCGCCGGTGCCGCGTTGGCTGCGGAAATCGTCCGGGTCCTGGGCAATCGTCCGCCACTGCCGCCACTGCCCAGAGGAAGACTCGTTTTTGCACACCTGTTGGGTTGCGATTCTTCATCGCCGTGGGTCACTTCGATTTCGCGGAACGGACCACGGTGATCTCGTCGCTTCCTTCGGTGCGGTCGCTTAGCGCGTCGCGTCTTGGAACGGCCAACCGCCGCGGTTCGATGCTCCGCGGGGGGACGGAGGAGGAAAGGGGTGCGACTGGTCCGCGAGGATGGCGAAGACCTGGTTTTGTAGTTGAAACTTCCGTCCTAAAATGGTTTGGCCAAGACTGAAATGCATGGTGGGTCAGAATCCCCTGACCAGGGTCCCTCACGAATCGTGTCTCCTTTGGCGAAGAAGAGTCCAATCCCTTTTGAGTCCAAGTTTGACTGCTTTGAACCTCCAGTAGTGGTGGATCAAATGATTAGGACAGGCCTCAGGTAGTTCATTTCGTCATTTCACAGAAGTTTTTCATCCGCTTTCGTCCCCTTGCCCAGGAAATTCATGGGATGTTTTACCAAGAAGCTACTAGTAGCGATGCACCTGTTCCTAATAGCGATGCCGATGCCCTTGTTACTATAGTAGCTTCTTGCTACTAGTAGCTTACCTTCAAAAGAGTTTCTCGGAGCCTGCGGACCTGCAAGCCCCTCCCAGCAGCGGAGCTGCCTTCTTCTTCGCCGCTTCGCTGCCTAACTTGGTTCAAAGCATCAGCTGATTTGGAGGGTAGACAAGCGATGGTAGACAAGCGATCTCTCCTACGCGCATTGATTCATTTGGCTCAGCACCTTGCGAACCAAGACGAAGCCAGGAAACCAACCCGTGGAATTCGGAAGGTGAGGAAGAACTGACTGACAGCTCACAAACCTTAGATGGATATGCATCCAAACTTTTCATCGGCGGCTCCAATTCAAACAAAGAGACAACCCTCCAGCTTATAGCTGCCAACGCCGCAGCCATGGTGATCAAGAGCCACATCAAGAAGCTTAAACCCTATCAGCCTCCACTGGAGGGTCGCAACCCTCAGAAGTACATGCTTCTCGAGCCTTGGAAGAATTGGTGACCCCTGCTACTTCCCGGGGCTTTTCCAAGAGGACCCGGTCCTAACTTCCCAAGCTTCCCGACGCGAGGGATCCCGCTCCGGTGCCCGAATCCGGAGGGGTCCGCACCCTCAGACCTGTAGGTTTTGAGAACCGGTCGGCCTGTGAACGGAGCCGTTTGGGACGTACGCATACTTCCTGCCGTACGCTGGCTTCCTGCCGTAGTACGCTGGGCTTCCACCTGGTGTGCTGCTGTGGTGTCCAGTGTTGTTGGGCCCACATGGGTGGATGCGTTCAATCCACCAGGGAAAGCAGACGATCCACGCGACGAACCCATGACCGTGTCACCTGGTTTTGCTTGAGAGGTATGTGTGCGTGTTTATTTTTTTTTATATTTTTTTAATTGGCTAGTTTTCCCGATGGGATGGATGTTTCTTTTTGCCGCTTCCTTATATAACATCATATATATATATATATATATATAACCAAATCCAAGATGAAGGGATTCCGACCGCACTTGTGGGGACTCCTTCGTGACGGAGGGCGAGAAAGCACGTTGCAAGTGTTTGAGAAAGCACGGCGTTGGTGAAAGCACGAGAGGTGAAAGCATCGGTTTGCATCGGTTCACCTGGTTCTTTTTTGAAGTTGGGACATGTGGATCACATGACGCACGTTGGCCTATACAAGTGTTTTCCACATTGGAACATGGGGCGGCTCCCACTGTTTCTAGAACGTGTCTATTGTCTTTGGCCGTTTCCATGAGCAGGCATATTCAAGGCAGGCATCGGACACGTTCAAAGGACGCGGTGCTGAACACCACATGCTTTCATGCTTGTTGGCAACTCCTTGGTGTGTTTATTGCACCTGGGCACCTAGATAGAGGCAACCTCTAGAAAGGAGAGGAGGACCTGATCAGGCACTGGTAGGTGATGTTGAGAGCAATTGCATACAGTGCCACCGTGCCCGGGGGCATTGCCCTCGGACCACGGAGGACTTCAACGAGCGCACGGTCGAAGTGCCTTCCTTCGTGAAGGAGGCGATGAAAGACTTCATCGATCAAGGAGGCGGTTCGGGCCGCCGGGGTCGTGAGCTGTTCGAGTCCCTGCAGGACAGGCATTTGAGAACAGGTCTCTGCAGGACAAACCCCATTCGTGGGGTTCTCGTTTTGGGCGGCGTTTTTGGATCCAAGTCTCTTGTTGGGATCACCTCCCATTTGGGTCAAGGGTATCAAGGGTATCGGTCGGACCAGGTTAGCCTGGAGTGACTGAACCCATGGAAGAACCCAGTGAGATAGAGGTGGGAAGACCGCCAGATGCAGATTTCACGTCAGTATATACCAGCTGCTTCCGTTCGGGGTTACCTGGCTGGACAACCCTACACTGCTTATAGGTCACCAGACTGGACACCCAGACCGTGTCGCGCTAGGTACTCGTATGATATGCATTGATAGGGAAGCTTCTCCACAGCCCGGGCCCTTTGGATCGCTTCTCCACTGCGGATCGGTGTCCCGAGAAAACCGATGGAAAACGGCGCCGGACGAGGCCTCCAGAAGTATCCAGCCTATGGAGCTCTACAGATGCTGGGACGCAAAGACGGTCGAGTTCTCTAGCTCAGCTGCGGGTGTGCTGGGTGTGAGCTGGGTGTGAGCTGGGTGTGCTGGCTGCTTGTGATGCTGGTCGTTTTGGAGAAGCATCCTTGGTGAAAGCAAGCAAACCCCAGATTATGGAGCGGTTAAAGGGGGGAAGGGACCGGAAGGGAATATAGAAGTAGTATGACATTTTTGCTTTAACTATTAGAAGTTCTGGTTGGTATTTCTGCAGATGGAAGTACATTACAACTGTAGACGTGCAGTCTAGTCACAGTCCAACGATTCGGAACATCAAAACAACCGTGTGGTGAGTCATAACCCACTAGCTTCCCATGCAAGCAAGCAGCATGGGCCACACTTGCGGTTCCCAGAGCCGCTAACCTGAATGACCAACCTGAATCATCGTCAACTCTAGGTGTGAGATCACTCAGCTTGCGTTGAAGAGACCTGCTGCAGGTCTCTTCTCTTCAGACCTGAGAACACAGTTGCTCCAGAAATAAAAACACACTCTGACATTGGTTTTCAGTTAACTCAATTCCCAGGTCGAAAATGGTGAGGGAACGGCATGGTGAGAAAGTCAGTTCACTTGAAAGGTTGAACAAGCTGTTTGTGCGTGACTGCAGAGCTCAGCGTAGTGAACGAGCGGCGCAACTCAGCTGCAAAACCAAGGTTTCGGGGGTGGAAGCATGAAGGACCATGGGCTAAAAGCGGAAAAGGAGGGTAACAGCTTGTGAAGCACTCTGCAGGTACATGGTTGAGCGTCCTCAACCACTTCCCTTCCAGTGACCCAGCTTCGTTGGATCAGGTTAGTCACTGGAAGCCTGATCCCCCTGCCGTGGTAGCTGACAGAACCCTGTCACACACGATGCCGCTTTGCGGCGCTCGTGTGAACGGCCTTAATAGGTACCTAAAAAGCTTTAGAAACAAAAGAAAGAAACACAGAAAGAGCGGCGCTAAGAGGGCAAGAGAGAAAGGTAGGTATAGAAAAAAGTGAATACTTAGAGGTGGACTGGTGTAGGGAAACGAGCCTCAAGAGCAACCTAAAAAGCCTGAGAGGAAGCCCAAGAAGCGACCAAAAGCGTAAGAAGGAAAGTGGGGGGGGAAGTGTATGTACATGTGTGTGTCCGTGTGTGTGTGTGTATGAATACTTAGCACTCTAGAGTTACTGACTACTTAGCAGAAGCGAATTACGTGCAATAGTTAGGGAGCGGGACTTTAGTCTTAGACCGCCCGGGTAGAGAAGACTAGAAAAGGGACAACAGAGGGAAAGGCACCGACACACAAGTGTGCCGAGTACCATTTCCCTCTGTTACACTAATTAGGTAGGGGTTAGAACTCGGCGGGGGGGGGGTAGGGAAACATGCCTGACCTCAGGGGGGAATTCCGTTCTTTAGCCCGGCGGCTACGTTGTCAGTAAGCAGGTGTTCTCCGTAAGAAGCCCGGCGGCTTTTAATCCCGTCAATTCAGTACTTGCATGGAAGCAGTGACAGTGATCCACGATGAAACGGCGGTAATTCAGGAAAACGATTTCCGGTCTGAAAACAGCGCCTCCTTGCGGAGGGTCACACCCAGCACCCAAGTGGGACGGCTGAGCGGTTCACACTCTGACATTGGTTTTCAGTTAACTCAATTCCCAGGTCGAAAATGGTGAGGGAACGGCATGGTGAGAAAGTCAGTTCACTTGAAAGGTTGAACAAGCTGTTTGTGCGTGACTGCAGAGCTCAGCGTAGTGAACGAGCGGCGCAACTCAGCTGCAAAGCCAAGGTTTCGGGGGTGGAAGCATGAAGGACCATGAATCAAAAAGCGGAAAAGGAGGGTAACAGCTTGTGAAGCACTCTGCAGGTACATGGTTGAGCGTCCTCAACCACTTCCCTTCCAGTGACCCAGCTTCGTTGGATCAGGTTAGTCACTGGAAGCCTGATCCCCCTGCCGTGGTAGCTGACAGAACCCTTAGGAACAGGGGTTGACACACACACACACACAAAACGGGAGGCATCTGTTTCAGACGTACAGTCCCAAAAACTAACATGGAAGTGGACAACCACCTGTTTGTAGTGGAAAACGGTCTTCCAAGGGGCCATTCTCCACTTCCATGTTAGTTCCAGGGAGTGTATGTGCACTTGTGTGGTTGCCTTTTGAAGCACCCGGTCCTTCGGTCCTTGGCGTTGCGCCTTGGCATCTCCAACGTTTTGGGACCTCGTGTCTCGATGATCTTCGACCCGTGTGCTTGCGCCCGATGCTTCCTGTGAAAGAGAGATGTCAATGTCAATGGATGGGTTTTTTACGGGAAATTCGTGGTTTCAACCCAGGGTATTCACCCCCCAAGTAGTCTTGGGTGTCCGTGGAAACGTCCGCTTTTTTTGTCCCTTGCACATCCTTGGACCACTTTCTGGGAGAGAGGAAAAAAGAGTATCGATCGAATCCCCGGTCGGGTTCCCATCCGAAGGTAGGGACGTGTCAGCCCGCGCGAACACCCAACCACTGACTACGGCCGGAACCGAAACGGAGGTCCAGGTAGGCCAGGTACGGCCGACACCGGAGCGGCGAACCCGCTGCAGGAGGGATATTGCCGACTACGCCGCCGTGGCGCCCGAGCAGGTGACGAATACTGGTGGGGGAACAAATGGTGAAAGGGGGATTCTGGGGAGCTTTTGTCTCCATATTCCCTGTTATGATTTTTGGTTGATGTTCAACGTGACTTCCTTGCTGTTTATGTTTTTTTTGGGGTCTTGTTTTGTGGGTTTAAGGGTCATAACCTTCACTTCATTGTTTGGATTGAATGAAGGGGATAATTGTTGAGGTGGTCAGAGTTTCTATGTGTAGGTTCAGGTTCAAATTCTACCAAGCTGTTCTTCAAAGATGTCGAATTATGTGCTTCAAATTCATGTATTGATTGAGGTTAGGCGCTGCGGTTCCTGTTTGGTTTTGCATATCAAGCATCCTTCAATCCAAAGCCGGTTTGGCACAAGTTGACTGAACCGATGTATTGGACATTCCGCAGATGCATCTTTGTGAGGCAGGTTCAGCTTGCGCCAGGCCGGTTCGTCCTTCAAAGCGGTCATGCACGAACGCAACCCGCGACAACAATCATCCACCTCATCTTAAAACCATTTGCCCCAGAAAAGTTAGAACCCCAAAAACCCCAGAACCCCCCACACATAAAACATCAACAGCAAGGAAAACACAATTGAACATCAAAAAAACATCATAACAAGCAACACACCAACAAATCCTCCCCAGAACCCCCCTTTTACAATTTTTTTTGGGCTCTGGGAGGGCATCGCCGCGTTGCGTAGCTCATCTGCCATATGCTAGCTCGGAGCAGGGCAGCCCATGACCTCAGTCGATGGCCATCGTCGTGGCAGAAGTCCTCATGACCCAAACTGATTTCGGATCCTTCGCTTCGGATCCTTCACTTCAGTGTGGTCTGGCAGAGTTCGCCCGGGCTGCGGTGCGTCCTCATCCCCTGGTTCGGTTCAATCCACCTCTCCGCCCTCGTGACGACACCCGAAGCAGTACGGTGTCGGAGAGCCGTGCTTCGCCCGCGTCGTCTTCCGTCGCTTCCGCTCGAGGTGCTCTTTGTGAACGGCTCGGATCAGGGCATCGACTTGGTCGTGCGTTGCTGTTGCCCCTTCGGCTCGGAGGTGTGGCGGGAACGGGCGAAAAGGGCGTTGGCGGGCGAAGCGGCGGAGGTGCCAAAGGGCAGGAATGCAAGGTCTTGGGACCAGGAGTGAACCAGACCCAGAGGCTAATTTATATCATCTATAGATGTTGAAATGAGCCCTGGATTTTTGTTTTGCTCATTTTTTATTGGTTCATGCATGTGTCAGTAGGAGACCGGAAGATTGCAGGTTTTCCGCTTTAGTTCCTGGCATGCTCGATCAAACCAATCTTCTTTCAACCCCCATTGCTAGGGTGGGCTGCATCAACATGTGTGGAAACATGTGGAAACCCATTCCAGGATGTTGATCGTGTTTGAGCATCCATTGAGGATTAGCCATACATTGGTATTTCCGGACCCCTTTTCGAACACCGAGTTGGGGTGTGGACTTCAGTATCTTCGGTGACCGCCTGCAGAGTGTCCCTGGGCCTTTCCCCTACTTCTTTGACTTGTCTCTCTAGCATCCCGGAATTGGTTTCAGGATGTTTCAGGCACCATGGAAGCGGAAAACCCATAGAAACCCATCGTTTGGGGGGGTGAACAACCATGGGGTTTCTACCAAAAGGTACCTCAAAGCTTCGGGAGTCGCACACTACCCCTGTTGCTTCGTTCAGTCGCCTGAAGAAACCTCGCTCCTCCACGGGGGGCCAGGTCATCATCCCCTCGCCCACCTTCGCCATGTTCGAGCTGCTTGGCTCGGTGGAGCGTGCGGCCTCGCGGAACGACCGGGACCCGCGGGGTCAAAAGCGTCCGCTTTTGGAGCCGTGGGGGTGATTTCGGTCGTGTGGTCCGTGTGAAAAAAATGATGGGCCAAGAGAAGAAGACATGTGTAGGCACATCCAAAGTGGCAAGAACAGGTTCCAAGTGGTGGGCTTTGGGCTTTGGTTCCAAGTCTAACATAGTCTGTACCTGCTCCCAAATCAAGATTAGTTCCTGGCACGACGAATTGCTCAACTGCTATGTTTCAATCTCAAATCAAGCTAGATAGTTTTCAGTCAGTGCTACACCGTCCCGTGGGTTTTTCATGTTCTCGATGTCGATGCCTGGAATGGCTG